GGATAAGTACTCTATGTTGGGCAGTCACCCATTTCTCGGAATCACTTTGCAATTAGTACACAGTCTTCTCTCTGGATTCTTAACCAAAAAGAAATCAATCTGTGATTTTGAGGCACCATTTTTGTACGTGATTAAATGCTCATTTCGCTTCTTAAAACAAGTGTTGACAATCTTGAGATTATATGCAAGAGAAAAGTCGAGAATAGATTGTCCTCTACTATTAAGCCCTCCAAAACCAAAACTACCATGAACCCTGCTGAATTGTCCTGCTTCCTCACTGACATGTCCATTAAGATCCCCACCGATAAATTTTTTTTCTTTGAGTGGTAGGCTTTGAACCAACTCCTCCATATCTTCCCAGAACTTATCTTTAAGGTGTGCCTCTGCCCCAACTTGAGGTGTATAGGCACTAATGATATTGATAGTATCCTTTCCAGCAATTACTTTTAAAGATATTATTCTGTTCTCAAACCTTTTAACCCCTATCACGTTTTTTTTTTCATGTTCCATCAACGATGATACCAACCTCATTCCTTGCCCTCACCTTTCCTGTGTACCAAAGTTTACACTCTCCAAGTTCCTTGGCAACTTCTCCAGTCCATTTGGTTTTTTGGAGGCACAAGATATTAATCCTTCTGTCCCTCATAACTCCTGCTACTTCCATAGATTTCTCATTTAGCGTCCCAATATTCCAAGTGCTAAATCTAGTCTTGGTCTTATGAACTAACTTCTTTAACCTCCTCCATCCAAGAGAGTGCGGTAGCCTCGCTCATTTAACACTATACTTGGGCGATTTTAAGGTTCCATATGGTCTATTGGTTCTATAGGTTCCTCAGGAAGATTTTGAGGGTCCGTAAGGTCTAGGTTGTTTAAGAAGGTGGTCTGTTGGCTAGAATGATCACAAATTATCCAGTTACTTTTCTAGTTCTCCCCCTGAGTGGATGATTTGGGGTAACGTGGCATGTTTCCTGCAAGCTTAGTGTTCATAGTAATATAAAATTTATTTGTAAGAGGAGTATAGCATTTATACCCCTTTTGGTTTGAAGAGTAGCCCAGAACAATACATATAATGTCTCTAGGGTCCAATTTCCTACCATGTTCATTGTAGACAAAAACAATGCACCCAGAAACTTCTTTGGAAGAGAGGTAACAGGGGATGAATTTGGATAAAAAGAAAGAAGTTGTTGTAGGGGGGTTTGAAAATTTAAAACTGGAAGGCATTCCATTTATTAAATGGGCAGCGGTAAGTATAGCATCTCCCCAAAAACAATTAGGAACATTCCTTTCAAACATAAGTGCTCTAACTACTTCAAGAAGATGTCTATTTTTTCTTTCAGAGACTCTATTCTGTTCTGGAGAATAAGGACATGAAGTTTCATGATGAATACCATTGGACACAAAAAAATTTGTAAAGGAAGAATTTAAATATCCTTTCGCATTATCTATTCTAAAGATTTGAATAGTTTAGCATAATTGGTTTTTAATAAAGGTATAGAATTGCTGAAAAATAGGGAAAACTTTAGATTTATTTTTCATAAGAAATACCCTAGTCTTGTATGATTGTCAATAAATGTAACAAACTAATGAGCCTTGGACATTGTTTCAAATTTAGAGAGACCTCAAACATCACTATGTTTAATATAAAAAAGGTGAGAAGGAGTATAAGGGTGACTAGGATAGGGATTGCGAACTTGTTTTGCCAAATAGCAGGTGTCACAGTGAAATTCGTTAATAGATTTCTTGTTAATATTTGGAAATAAAATTTGCATATAGTGAAAACCAGGGTGGCCTAACCTAGAGTGTTACAACATTATTTCATCAAGAGTCATGGTAGATAAAGCAGCAGTGCAAATTGATTTATTTGAGGAAATGCCTTGGATATAATAAAGCTCATTCCACACTTTAGCAGTGCCAATCCTCTTCCCTAATACCAAGTCCTGAAAGACACAACCAGTATTGTTAAAAGTAATAAGACAGTGCAGTTGGTCAGCGGCTTGTTTTACGGACAGCAAGCTACATCCAATGTTCAGGACACACAAAACATTGTGTAATACAATATCTGTTGAAATTTCAACAATTCCTGAGCCTTGAACTTTAGCAAACTGGCCATTAGCAGCTTCCACAATTTTATGATCAGAGTGGTTACAAAATTCGATGAACATTTCCTTAAAACTAGTAATATGGTGAGTGGCACCAGAGTCAATAAAACAAAGATTTTTAGAAGTAGTTATACTACTAAAGACATGGGTGAGGGTAGTACCTGCACGGGCTGGAGTGACAGAGGGGGTAGAAGTCTCACTAGCTGGGCCATAAGTGAGATGCCTATCTAAAAATTTACACAGGAGTAGTAACTCTTCATGGCTCATAGGCTCTGGGACAGCAGGAGGGCCAACTAGTGGGCCCTTACTTCTAGGTTTGCCTTTCTATTTATTGTTGGGAGGCTTGTCATGTAGCTTCCAGCACACTTCTCTAGTATGACCATTTTTGTGACAGTGATCACACCACTTGGAAGGCTTTTTGGCTTTTGTGTCACTTTGAGAACCATGGACAGCAAAGGCAAAGGAGTTAATAGGGACAGCAGAGGGGTTAACGAGTACCTTCCTGCTTTCCTCAAATTTGATAGTATTGAATGCTTCGAGCAAAGATGGGAGAGGCTTGAGACTTATAATTCTAGCCCGAACATTCTCATAGGAGTCATTGAGTCCATGCAAAAACTTGTAACAGCGTTCTTGGTCTACTAATTTCCTATAGTACATGGTTGTAGCAGTACTCACCAATTCATGGACCTCATGGAGGTTTATTTGCTGCCAAAATTTCATTAGAGTAGTATAATACTCCCTCCGTTCCTTATTATAAGAGACATTTGATACTTATGGCATGTTCCTATATATAAGAGACACTTACAAGTTGTCTCTACTTTTTTGTGTTGATTTACTATTTTACCCATATTTATTATCCCCAACTCACACTCTCTCTCCCTCCTACTTCTCTTTCTTTTAATAAATTAATTGTTATCTCTATGCTCTCTCTCCTTATTAATGAGGGCATTTTTGGAAAAAAATTATACTTTTTACACATTAATTGTTCTCAACTAATTTTAACTGTTTTTTGATCAACGTACTTCGGTTATTTGTCTCTTATAATAAGGAACGGAGGGAGTAATGAGTGATAGTCTGTTCACCTTTTACCATCATGGAGTTTCGTTTGACTTAAATAGTGTAGCAGTGTTTTGTGTAATAGAATAGGTGGCTTTGGTAGAGTCCCAGATTTCTTTGGCGTTAGTGGCAAGGAGGTAGTTCTCACCAATATCAGCTGCTGTGGAGCTGACAAGCCATGCCATGACCAGATTATTCTCTGCACACCAAGTAGCAAATTCAGGATTTGTAGACGTTGGTAGAGGTGGATTTCCACGGAGGTGATGTTCCTTATTACGACCCTGGATGAACATGAGAACGTAGTGGGACCACTGGAGATAATTATTCCCATCCAGACGATGGGTGATCGGAATTTGGGAGAAGGCATTGGTGACTCCCACCCCTTACGAGGCCGCCCTAGATGGCGTTGTGCTGCTACTATCAGCAGTAAAGACACGTGGCTGCATAAGTGCAGCCTTAAAGGATATAGAGTAGGGTTTTGGTTAAGGCACTGATACCATGTAATTTTCTGAATGGTACACTGTATTATTCACTGAATGAGGGTTTACATAATATAGGGGGTAAGCCTAATTAATGTAGAATAAACCTAATTAATATAAATTTGATCACATCCCCTAAATTCCACCTAAAGATAAGGAAATAATGATAATGGTTAGATTTTGTCATAATTTGACCATTACAAGAGATACACCTATTTATTGCTAGGAGATTCTAGGAGATTAGGTTAAAACTAATAAATGGGCTTTTGGCAACAAGCCCACTTTCCCACACTAAAGAAGTTGCTTCAAACAAACAAGTCCACATGTTGCTAAGGCCATGGCGTGATATTTTGCTTCTGTGCTAGATTATGCAACCACATTTTGTTTCTAGCTGTTCCAAGAGAGTGAATTATTGCCAATTAGCACATGATATCCTAAAATAGATCATTATTAGTAGGAGATTCAACATAGTTAGCATTTATATGGCAAATTATCAATGAGGTCTGAGAAATGGGAACTCTTTCATAGTAAGGGAGTCATGGGCTGGTGTTGGAGTATGGTGTGGGTCAATTGCTACATCAATAAAGCTTGTAAGAAAGTGAGGATAGGATGCCAGTGATAAGTTTGAATGTCTTGAGAAGTGGTTGTCAAACGGGTAATGCAATATATTACCTTAGAGAAAGACTGATGTTCAGTTGTCAGCAAAGAAAAATATTGAAACGCTTCGAAGAATGTCTCATCGAAAGAGATAAAGCTTTTTTTTGCCTTCTTTGGAGTAACATTGATATCACTTCTGAAGGCATAAATACCTAGGGATGATGCATTGGATAGATTTAGCTTCAAATTTATCTTTGTCTGGGTTAGATCATGAATAAAACAAGTGCATCCAAAAATACAAAGAGGAAGAGGATAAAGAGATTCAAAGGGAAATGGAATAAAGTAGAGAACTTGGTTTTGTTTATAGAAAAGGCATACAGTTGATTGAATTACAAGAACCACATCACCCAAAAAAATGAAGGGGCACAACTTGAGGGAAGAGTTAGTAAATGGCAACATATCTAGTAGATATCCTTCTCTACACTTAGCAAACTCTAGTATTGAAGCCTCTAGATTTAATATGGCTCGGCAACAACTATATTTTCAAAGTTGGTCATTAAGCATTTATTCTTATGTTAGCACATGTTAATTATGTTTTAATGCATTGATTTCTTTCCTTTGTTGGAGCATTGAACTACTTGTCATTAACTACTAGGCTCATCCTTTGTCTACATTATGTTTAGCCTTTACCATTTGTAAAATACAATTACTTGATCAATGAAATGAACTAAAGATATACTCTCTATTTTATGGGTTATTTGTTAAGCAGGAATTGTCGCATAATACACCCAACAACTATACAGTTGCTTTATGAAATTTCTCAAACTCTACATGATGATATGGAATTCATGAATGTTAAAGACGATGATAGCCATGTGTCTCGGTTGATCTCTCGCTTTGTTCACATGGTAAATTTTTTTCTATAGTTGTTTGTGGTAATGTGTTTGTGGTTATGGAGATTATGATTCGCTTTTTCCCCCTTCTATTCACTAGGTAGATTATGGAGCAGACTTGGAACGCCAATTAGCATTTTTGGTTGATTCTCGAGGAGCTTTCAGCAGACTAGATGAACTTAAGGTTGTTACTATTTTCCTCCCAGTGCATCAAAGATAAAGCATCAAACTTTTATTTCAAATTATTATGATTATAGAGTATATTTTGTTGTTGTAGATATTACACCTTCATTGTAGGGATATTGTATTATTCTGCATTAATGAGCCTTTAAAGTGAAGACTCTCTCTTGTATATACAACCCTCTCCTCAGAGTGAATAAATATTACATTCCAATCATATATCTCTACACTAGTAATATCACTTTTACCTGATATTGCCTAATCATGTCACAAATAGAGTTAATTAAATGCTTGGAAAAACCAGGCAAAAGTCTTGCAAGGACGTGTGGGGGCCCATATAGTGGGGACTGGCTGCTGGACTTGGCTATTCAACATTATGTACATTGTAGTTGTGCAATCATAGTACAGTAATGCAAAAGTACAGTGATAGTACAAAGAAGTACAACGAATCTTGAGACACTAATCAACACTATACACATTGTAGTGGTACGTTACTACTGTGATATCTTCAACCTTTGCTGTTATAGAATTGGCCAACCATGACATGGTTTTATTCTCTCAAAACCACATGTTCTACTTCAGGTATGTGATAAATAAGTTGAATGGCATCTCTAGCGAAGTAATTCCCTCTTCTCTGCAACCTCGGATAAACATCAAGGCAATTGAAAACCATAGGGGGTAATTATTACAATTTAAATTTGAACGCATATGATGTGGACCAAGCTAACTAGTTTGCAAAGCTATTTGGCTGGTTCAAGGCTGATGCCCTTGTGGCTACGTTGTTGATTTGTACAGACAACAGAAACAAACTGAGCGCATGTTCTTTCATTCTGGTTTTTAGTGATGGAAGGCATCACCTAATCACATTATAGAGGTTTTTGGATATTGGCCAGAGGGAAGACAGTTTGATCCCAATACCAAAGGAAAAAAATATCATATTGCACCCTAGTTCTGAGAAAATTAAGTGAATTCATAAATTTGAAAAATTAAAAGCAGATTGACTAATATGAAGGATATGTACAGCAATGTGATGCTTACATAAATAAGTTGATTAATATCTGCAGGTATTAATCATTAAAAAAATGGAAACAATTCAAAATTGTAATGGTTGGAGAAGCTTTAATTCCATATGACTAAAGGACCTTTGTAGTGATGTAGCGATTATGCTTTCCTGCAGGAAACTCTTGTTCACTCCAGCAACTGCTTAGCTATTCAAGCCTTGAGATCTAAAAAGCATCTCATTTTTGTCAAATCCTGCATAACATTTAGTGAAATCACAGTACCTTCCATTTCCTCTCAGAGGAGGCAATTTGATCTTCTTCTAGAAACAGCAGAGGTATGTTCATATTTGGCATCAAAATGTTCCATGGTATTTTTTTCTGTGCGTGAAGTGTACTCATGCTTGCATGTTTCAGGTTGCTTTACAAGGCGGCTTGTTTTCTCATTCAGATGAACTAATCGACTCAGCAATTGGCTGTTTGCAGAGTTCAGACGTAATGGACGGTTAGTTTACATGTTTTACTGTGTGAAGTTCTTTGATTCAAGAGATGAGGATGTGGCAGAAAAAGTTGAGAATCAGCTATACACTGCTTATTAGTCAACATGTAATTATACTTTCTCAACCCTATCATGTCCTTTTGAAAATAACAATCACCAGTGTCATCTTCGGGCATCTTAATATTCCATAAACCACCTCCAGGTGTTGTTCTTATGGTTTGCTTATGAACTGGTTTACCACGCTGAGAAGCTTTGTGGAGTAACAGAGTATAATAGCTCGATGATCATATTCCTCGGTGTAGCCGGTAATTAAATAGTGTACAGGAGAATCCTCACCATAATCAGTGGGATTTGGGAAAAATTCAAAAACGGATAATGAAGATATTCCCTTATATGTGCTGGGATATACTCCTCAGATCCTATCTAATAAACAAAAATATTTACAGATATAAATAAACATAAATAACCTATTTACCACACTCCCCCTCAAGTTGGATCATAGATACTCATCATGTCTAACTTGCTGACAAATTTCTTAAATACATCTTCTGAGGGTCCTTTCGTGAGGATATCCGCAATCTGCATCTTGGTAGGAACATAGGATAGACAGATAATCCCATCTTCTACCTTTTCCCTTATGAAGTGTCGATCTATCTCCACATGTTTGGTTCTGCTATGCTGAACTGGATTTAACGCCATACTGAGGGCTGCTTTGTTATCACAATAGAACTTCAATGGAGAGTTGATCGCAAAGTATGCCTCTTCAGCTATTCTTATCCATAGACCTTCCATAATACCCTGAGCCAATGCTCTCAATTCTGACTCTGCACTACTTTTTGCGACAACCCTTTGTTTTTGGCTTTGCCATGTCACTAAGTTGCCCCAAACAAAGGTACAGTATCCTGAAATTGTTGATCTACTGTTTCCCTGGTCTCCTGCCCAATCAGCATCAGTGTAGATTTCAACAGATCTATCATTGCTCTTCTTAAAGGACAAACCACGACCAGGAGTACCTTTAAGGTATCTCAGTATTTTGTAGGCTACATCCATATGCTTCTTTTTCGGTGAGTGCATATGCTGGCTTGCTACACTCACAGCAAAGGCGATGTCGGGTCTAGTATGTGAGAGGTAGATTAACTTCCCAACTAGCCTTTGATAACGTCCCTTATTTGTAGGTCCTTCATCTTTCTCCTGTTTCTTTCTCCTTGCAGCTTCTTTTTCAGTTTTGGCTGGTTTTTCACTTTTCTTGATCTTCTTTTTGATATTTATGGGCACTTTACTTGGTTTGCATCCAAGCATTCCGGTTTCCTTGAGTAAGTCCAGGATGTATTTTTGTTGGCAAATAGAAATACCCTCTTTTGACCTTGCAACTTCCATGCCCAGGAAATACTTCAACTTTCCAAGATTCTTTACCTCAAATTCTTTATTCAAGGCTGCCTTTATCCCGTTCATCTCCTTTATACCATTACCAGTAAGAACAATGTCGTCGACATACACAATGAGAATGGTGATGAGATCCCCATTCTTGGAGACAAACATTGTGTGATCTGACAAACTCTGCTTGTATCCCTCAGCTTTAAGAACTTTAGAAAACCTATCAAACCATGCTCTGGGTGACTGCTTTAGCCCATATATAGATTTTTTCAACCTGTATACCTGATTGTTTCTACCCATTTCAAAGCCAGGTGGCAAGGACGTATATACACTTCTTTTAGTTCACCATTAAGGAAGGCGTTCTTGATGTCTAATTGCTGTAAGGGCCAGTCAAGATTCACTGCAATAGACAGAAGAACCCTGATAGTATTCAGTTTTGCCACAGGACCCTGATATTTAGGAGTAAATACCCACTTGCAGCCTACTGGTTTCTTACCAACTAGTAATTTGGTAATTTCCCATGTACCGTTCTTCTTTAAGGCCCTTACTTCTTCCATGACAGCATCTTTCCACTCTGGGATTTTAAGGGCTTCATGAATATCATTAGGAACTATAATCTTATCAAGATTAGTTACAAAGGTATAATGACTCTTAGAGAGAGCAGCATAGGTCACAAAATTCTGGATAGGGTGTTTAGTGCAAGAACGACTTTTCTTTCTCAAGGCAATAGGTAGATCCAGTTCACATACCTCTTTTTGAGCAGTTTCTATACCAACCTCAACAATGTTAGGATCTGTCACCGGTTCAGTGAGTGGCACGGCCTCAGGTATGACAGCCCCATGTGTTTGCTTGTCTCTACGGTTATATACCTTATCAAACTGTTTCTGCTTCTTGTGAGTCTCACTTACTGCACTAGGCAGCACAGTCATAATGGAGGGTGAATCCAAAGGAATCGGAGAAGGATTGGAGGAGATGGGGGATATAGGTTCTAGAACACTTGTAGTAGGTGAAATTCACTCCAACTCTCCCCTGAATTGAAGCAGGTGGATAATATGGTTCATGTTCGACAAAGGTGATGTCTCGGTTGACAAACAGGCGTTTAGAGACCAGATCATAACATTTATAACCTTTTTGAAGATTGGAATACCTGAGGAATATACACTTAGCTGCCCGAGGATCAAACTTGGAAGATGGATGGTGAATATGAGTAAAGACAGAACAGCCAAACACACGAAGGGGTAGAGTAGAGTCTAGGTGAGACACTAGATGGGTTTCACGAAGTTTGGCAAGAGGAAAGGTATAAGAGATGGTATGACTTGGTAGACAATTGATTAAGTGCGTGGCAGCAAGAATGGCATCCCCCCCAGTAGAACTTAGGTACATGACAAGTGTAGAGAAGTGCACGAGCAACTTCAAGGAGGTGTTTATTTTTTCGTTCAGCAATACCATTCTATTGAGGAGTGTGAGCGCAGCTACTTTTATGAACAATGCCATTATTTTTTAGAAAGGGGTCAAGGTATTGATTGAAATATTCGGTACCATTATCAGTATAAAGGACTTGGATGGAGGTGTTGAACTGATTTTTGACATAGTTAAAAAATTCAATAAATGTAGTAGCAACAGCAGATTTTTCCTTTAAAAGGTAAACCCAACACATGCGAGTGTGGTCATTGATAAAGGTGACAAAATTTTGAGTGAGTTCGATTCGGAATATGTGAAGGACCCCAAACATCACTATGTACAATAGAAAAAGGACGAGATGACTGGTAAACAGAAGGAGAATAAGTGATACGATGATGTTTGGCTAACTCACAAACATCACAATGAAAAATACTGTCTTTATTAAAAGATAAATCAGGAAACAATTTTTGCATATAAGAAAAACTAGGATGACCCATCCTTTGATGCCATAACATGAAATTATTTTCTTTAGGAGTGGAGACAGAGCCACTTATTCTGGAACACAAGGTAGTAACCGTGGAGACATCAAGGTAATAGAGGCCGTCATACTCTTCAGCCGTGTCAATCATCATCCCCGAGGAGAGATCCTGAAAAATACAATGAGATGGAAAGAAGTGAGCACAACAGTTTGTTTGTTTAGTCAACTTGCTAATAGACAAAAGATTACAGGCGAGATGGGGAACATGCAAAACAGATTGAAGCTGAAGTTTATCAGTGAGATGGACAGTGCCTGTTCTGGCTATAGGAGAGGGCGAACCAGTGGCTGTTTTAATGGTTTGATTTCCTGCTGAAGGAAGGTAAGAGACAAACATTCTTGCTTCTAATGCCATGTGATCAGAGGCACCACTATCGACAATCCACTTAGAGGGCATAAATGAGGTTTGAAGGGTAATAGAATTACCTTTTTTGAGCAACAGAGGTAGAAGCCATTGGTTTCTTTGGAGCCGGTAGAGTTTTAATGAAGTCTAATAATTGCCCCAATTGTTCCTGGCTAATGGTGGGAATCGTGTCAGAAGTAGAGGAAGTCGGTGCACCATGTTCATGTATAGCCTGATTTACACGAGGCTTACTCCTTCGCGGTTTCCATTCAGCAGGTTTCCCAACAAGATCCCAGCACCTGTCACGTGTATGTCCGGTCTTCTTACAGTGATCACAGGTGAGTTTCCCCTTGTTTTGAGAGGAGCCGTGGTCGATATTTTTACTGATAAAGGCAGAAGAGTCCAAGACAGTCATTCTTGGTCCGGGTAACATTACCTCACGTCGTGATTCTTCACGGCGAACTTCAGCATATACCTCTCTGGTGGTGGGCAGAGTATGTTGGCCTAGAATCCGAGCGCGTACATCATCAAACTCTGGGTTCAGGCCAACAAGGAATAGTAGTACTCGTTTGGTTTCAATATTCTTTCTGTTACGAGCAGCATCAGCAACGGAAGACCATTCTTCAGTGGTAATCAAATCCAATTCCTGCCAGAGGGCTATGAGTTCAAACCAGTATTCAGTAACGCTTCGTGGACCCTGTACACACCTCAAGGTTTGACGACGCAAGTCAAACAGTCGAGAGTGATCCTTAGCATCAAAGTAGGAATCACGAACAGCTTCCCACATTTCTCGAGCCGTGGGAAGATACATAAAGGTTCGTTTGAGCTGTGGAGACATTGCATTAATCAACCAAGAAGAGACCAAGGCATTTCCATTGAGCCATCACAAAGGAGGCAGGGTCTAACGAGATAGACACATCACCATTAAGGAACCCGAGTTTGCCACGACCTTCAACGACAAGCAGGACGGCCTGGGCCCAGTCACGGTAATTGGTAAGAGTTAGTCGTTTAGAGACGATAGAAACAGGGGACCCAAACACAGACGGTCCATCGACAACGCTCGACCCATTGGGGTCGTTGACCTTCGATGACGCAAACTTGGTCGACCCATCAGGAGAAGTCGCCATAGAAGCAAGCTTCTCAACTAGTCGGGCAGAGAGAGAGTGCTGAGAGACTTATCAGATTGACAAAGAGAGCTGCGGCTCTGATACCATGTGGAGTAACAGAGTATAATAGCTCGATGATCATATTCCTCGGTGTAGCTGGTAATTAAATAGTGTACAGGAGAATCCTCACCATAATTAGTGGGATTTGGGAAAAATTCAAAAACGGATAATGGAGATATTCCCTTATATGTGCCGGGATATACTCCTCAAATCCTATCTAATAAACACATATTTACAGATATAAATAAACATAAGTAACCTATTTACCACAAGCTTTTGTTTTGTCCAGTGTCTGGCAAATGTACCTACTTCCTTATAATTCTGGCGGATCTTCTTGTATTCACAAGAGTTCCATCTTGCTTCAAGCTTCCAACTTGAGGAGGATTGTTAGAATAGATAATATTCTTTTATTTATTTTGTAGATATTGTAAGATTATCTTTGTTATAGAGATAGTGTGATATAAGGGTTAGGGCATTAATTAGTCATTATGAGTGAGTCTCCTAGTTTGTATATATATTGCGTTGCTCTGATGAATTGAACAACATATTTCATTCATTCTCTTGTTCAACCATCCCAAAAAACCGACCATGAAAACCTATCTGTTCAGCAATAAATCTCTAATAAGATATGCTGAGTCTATAAAAGTACACGGAATTTGTAATCTTCTTCTTCTTCTTCTTTTTTTTTGGGGGGGGGGGGGTTGGCCCCTTGACCATTACTATCAAGGTTTTTTAATGCTTGCCTCTGCAATTTGAAGTTACATTTCATAATACTATGAATATTCCATATGGGTTTTTGTAAAAGAATATTTAGTTATCAGTAATCTAGCAAGCATTATTGTGGGAATATCCTATATTTATCGTAAATATTTGTTATGGTTGTACATTTTTATTAGAATTTGTTAGGCTTTATTCTCCTTTATGAGGTGATACTCTCCTATGGTGCATAAATGAGTCAGATGTATCTAGTATTATCATCAAATACATGAGAAATATATTTTTCCGTCTTCCTTTCCACATGGTATCAGAGCATGAGGCTCAAAATTGCAATTAGGGTTTTGTGGACTATGGATCGTTTGAAGAAGTCTTCTGCACAGAATTATATATGCAATTGATCATTTATTTGGTTGGTTGTGTAGGATATCGAACCCAAACTGATGTCGGGGGACTAGTCTCATCAATTACAAAGCTATGCAGTTTATTGGTTATGGTTCCAGGTTCTTTAATTTATTGCATTTTCTTTATTGCTTTAAATAATGTTTGGACAAGATTGAAAATTTGAGCTAGTAGCATCTCATTTGAGTCTTGACTAGTTCTTTAATAGACTTTTTTGTATGGCTTATAAATCAAACATGCAAAGCTACTATATTTAACATTTAGCAATGTTGACCATAAAATTTATGAAGGTTGTACTTAACCTCGCTCCTGCTAAGGGTATACAATTCTGCTCATAGGCCCTCATTGAACAATTTACCAATTATAATTTAGATTGAGAAAGTCTAGAGTTTAATTGTGAAGTTATCGCTCATGATTTTTTTACGAAAGCCATACTTGCCTATACTTAGTAGAGTTTGATCTTATTTTATTTCAATTGTAGCAAACTCCTTGTGTGTGTATGGCAAATGGTTTCACATAGAAACTTCATAGCCTATTAAATTTGGGAGGTCTTAGCTATGTTAATTTCACAAGGAGAGATCTGGGCACTATTTCAAGAGGTTAGGTATTTTGTTGTCCTATCTTTGTATCTTTTATTCACCATAATTTTCTTTTAATGGAAATGAAGGTAATTTGAATCAAGGATTCACCTATTTCCCCAGTTACTTGTTCAGTGTGATCAGATCCCAATCATGGTGAGCCGTCCTTGCCCTTTATCATGATGCAAAATCTGTCATATGTTTTGTTTCTTCTCCCGTAACATTAGTTTTTATTATATTTTTGGAGCTCTAACTTTTGATTAATTGAATCCTTGCAGGGTTGAACCAAAACTGAGGATACGTACTTTTTCTGCTATCATTTTATTATTGTCGACTTTGTCACAAAGCAAACTTCCCTATCATGCAAATGTGGAGGTATAGCTTTGTATACTTGCATGTTTAGGCCTGGCAAGTGGGTCGACTTTTGTGTTTTGGTGTTATTTCCAACATAGTTTGGTGTGCTTAGCTATGACTGTAAGGTTGACTGGTCACGCAACTCAATCATTAATACACCCAAATTTTTAAAAATTTTTATATCGTATAAAATAGAATCCATTTTAAGCCAAACTACAATATAATTATAGCCTTTTTTTTTTCTCTTTTTCTTTTGAAAAACAAGCTATGACATCTTAAAATGTTTTTATTTCATAACATTTATCAATTATTACTGTGTGCATGCATGTGTGTGTGGGGGGACTGGCATGTGTACCTGGTTGTGCTTGAATGTCTATACACTATTCCATCCACAAAAATATGCATAACATATGCTGCTGTCATTTTAAACAAAACCTGTGTCCATAATTATATGTCTGTGTACCTATATATTTGTATATATGAATCTATATATATATATATAGGTTGACAAGAGTGCAAGAGCCAAAGTTTAAAATATAAGGTAGGTTAACTTAACCCCAGGCTGCACTAGGAAATTCGAATTTTCATATTTGATTTATTGACGCCAAATTGACCATTTGGTTCAAGCAGTTGAGTTGAAAGGATGTTATAAGATAGTTGGATTAAGATGGTTAAGAGTCTAGTAGGCAGTAAGCCATGTTTGGCAATAAACTGTTTTAACCAAGATTCTATCTGACTGCTGCCTATTTACTCTTTTTTTTTTTTTTTTTTAATAAGTGCAATTCTTATGTTACAGAGCATTTCTAACTGGTTTTTTATTATTATTGTTATTGTTGTTGTTGTTGTTGTTACTATTATTATTATTTAATAATTTTGATTTGTAAAACTTGATGTTGCTTTTTTTCAGGTTCCAGGCAATGACACGTTATACTATGGTAATTTATCTTACAAACAAGAACTTGTTTCTTTGTCTAACCTTGTTCTTCAGAACTTGGTTAATGCCATTCAACAAGAGCCTTTGCAGGTAAAATCGTATCAACTTCAAATAGTATACTATAATTTATTTGACCAATCATAATTGGTACTTAATCTGAGGCTAATATGAAGGCTGCTAGAGGAATTATGGCGCTTGAAGCATGCAACTCCATCGCATCATCTTTCAAGGTTGGTTGTTTTTCTGACATTGTTCTCTATTATACGATTGTAATCAATGTGATTACTTTTCATGCATGCAAAAGAGAAGGTTGGCCATTGTTCCTCCTTATTTGCCAAATGTCACCAATGCTCAGTAGTTTGTCCTGATATATGTATCACATTTTAAAATGATCATTTTGTTTTCTGCATTGGGATTGGGGATGTGCTAATTTCCAGAAGAAATTATCCATTCTGTTTCCCTTTCCTTTATATATCCAAATTATCAGAATAGAGGATATTCTTTCCTCCATTGTATATATTGTAATCTTATCATACATGGAAAGCTTATCTAAATATTGAATGAAGCTCCTATATGTATCCGGCGAAATTGGGGAGCTGAAGATGTATAGGTTAATGCTATTCATATTGTATGTTTGTGTCTGTGTGTAAAGTAAATCAAATCCACTGCATAAATCCGGTAGCTTCTCTGGCAACCACCCCCCCTCCAAAAAAAAAAAAAACTTTAGCTTCAAAAAATTTATGCCTTTTAAAAATTGAATGCCCCCCAGGGTTATTCTAGTATTATAATGAAATGCGATCATTTATAGTCTTCTATTCAAAGTTTGGTGTGATAAATCAAATCTCGCATCTCTATTTCGTGGGACAGACTTCTTGTTGATGCTGTTATTGTATTCATTTCTTTTGTGTTTACAGTTAAGTGATGAAGTATCGTCTGTTTGTGTCTCACTGATTGAAACTGCCAAGTCATGTTTGGATGGTCGAGACAGATTTCTGCAGTCAACTATTCAATTTGTAGAAAAGCAGTTACCAGCTTCTGCGAGAGCCTTGCTGTCTTCTATGTGATTTGTATTTGTTTAGGTTAGATTTTGATGTAGTTAACAATAAATTGCTTGCTCTGGTCTTTAGTTATTTGTTTAGGTTAGATTTTGATGTAGTTAACATTCAAGACGGGAGTCTGTAGCATGGTTCTAATATCCAAGCATACATATTGCAACTTCCAGGGAACCATGCTAACACATTAAAGACAAATTATGTGAACGTTTTACAAGCTTGGTATACATTAGAACTGAAGTCTGGGTAGACGAAAAAGGTTGATGGAGCGCAAAATATAAGGCCTCGTGTAGCGCCACCATCTGTGCATGCAAATTTCCCTTCCCAAAATTATAATGACGATATTGCACGATCTGATGTGTCCATTGAAAGCAAACTTCAACGTGATATTCCTTGTGTTCATCACGTCTCAGGCCAAACCATATTGACCAATGAGACTCCATGACATGAGACATCTCTCGCATCATCATTGTAGGCCACTCTATCCTCGGGTTTAAACTCATTGGACGCCTGGACGCCTAGTTTTGTGACTCCTCAAGTACCTTCGCATACGTTTTAGCCCCACCACCATCTAAAGAAATTACCTGTACGACAGATAATTTTTTTAAGCTTGATTTCGTGCTAACCATGGAGAGATGCTCAAGAGGCAAGCATTTATTAGAAGCGTGCATCCAATAAGTAATCCGGTCCAAGATATTCCAATGCACATAAGCATCGACTCCTAAGCCCAAAATACCAACAAGCTCGAGCAAAAGAACATCAAAGAAACCGGTGATCTAAAGACCCATCTAAAGAACCACAAAAAGAACATACCTCCGGATGTGGCAGAAGTGGGGAGAATACCACGAACAACCTTCCACAGAAGAATCCTAACACGCGGTTGTATATTAATTCTCCATAACAAATCCTACTCAAACATTAAAACGTTACCCGACGAGCCATTATTGCCACGCACCTATTGCTGCTGAATCCTTTACTCATCCTTTACCGAATACAGACCACTACCATTCCCTTTCCATTTCAGTTTATCTTTGTATTGTAAACGTGGAATTGGAATTGTATAAAATTGTTTGCCAATGGGCATAGGATACAAAGAACGCAACAAAATTCCATCGTCCGTGATGGCGCAGTATAAGGTGAGCTACCTTCAACGAAGGAAAAGAATGACCACACTGCTGCAAAGGCCATTGATGCCTATTATTAACTATATGTTTGGTATGAGGGAAATAGAGGGAAGGAGAAGGGAGGAAAAATTTTTATGAGCTTGATTTAAAAAATTGGCAAAATGGGATTATAAAATTTTAATAAAGAAAAAATGTAAAACAAAATAATAGTAAAAATTAATTAAAAGCTTTTAATCCCATTTCATCAATTTTTTAAGATGAGTTCATCAAAATTTTTCCTTCCCTCCCTTCTTTTCCCTTTCCCTCTACCAAACGGACAAATAGAGGATCCATCTCCAATCTACCAAGATCCAGAATAAGCTTGCCCGCACTAATGATATCCTTCCATATAGGTGAACTTGAATATCGTCTTTCAATGGTTAAATCATCTTGTCGCGAAACATATTTCGGCACCATCAAAGGATTAAGTAAAAACCCATCTGTCAGCATTCTTCATAATTGCCTTGCCAACAGGGCTTGACTAAAATGAGACACATTTCGAACTTGCAAGCCTCCCTTATTATCAGGTTTACGGAGCTCATCCCAACTTAAAAAACTGAGCCTTAGGCCTGCCGTCATTAAAGCCCCAGCAAAATTTAACATACGCATGGAAAGTTTTTGGCACACATGCAAAGGAAACTTCTTACACGACATCGGGTTAAGCCAAAAGAGAAGATAAAGAATTCTTGAGAAGAACCAACCTCCCCGCTTGCAAGAGAGTTTTAGCTTCCCGACCAGCCAATCTCCTATCAATCTTTCCAATCACCTCTTGCCAACCGTGACCAGAATTCCGTACTCCATCAATATGGATAACAAGTTATTTCCCTGAAACTGTTGGCAACAACACCTGAAGAAAATTGGTTAATCCCAGTCATATTCTATGGACGCTATCTTTAAAAGCTATTCCACGACTACTGGCAAATGAAAAAGTGGCACTCTTCGGAATTAAATGAACTCTTCCTGCAAGAACAAGGTGAGCAAAACAGTAGAAGGTAAAAGTAAACTCAACAAGGCAACAGAAATTTCAAAGAAGAGAGGAGAAATGCACGGAAACTCGAGTGCAAGATGTCTGAACCTCATGCAGACTTTACCTTTTATAGGTCACAGACTTGAGAGACATTAGGCCATGAATTAATTATGTTAAATGTGATTAAAGTCGCAATTATGAATGTTGTAGCAACAAATCCGAATAACACATACGTTTTGAACATTAGTCGTGATCATCACATCCATTTTGTAATTAAGAATCCATTGAGGTAAATTGATGAAGTGTAAAAATCTCAACGGTAAGGCTTTCAAAATTCAAGGGCAATGAAATCATGCTTCTCATATAAAGCATTTATTATAATTCATTTTTTGATTTTTGTAAAAAGACTTTTGATTAAAAAGTGCGCAATCCGCTTTTGACTCACGCAGAAAGTGTAATGTAAAATTGACAAATCTCCATTACATTTGCTTCTGACTGACGGGCGCAAGATCTTTCTTCTCTTCTAGGTACACTAACCAGCCCGAAGAACACAAGCTAGTGTTTATACCCTTATGCTCCCATACTAGTGAGCAATGTGGGACTTCTTTTTTTTTTTTTTTTTTTTTGACACACCCACACTATATCTCCAACAGAAAATGAATGAAATCTTAGCCCCAGTAAATTAGCCAATTTCCTTTTCAAGGAGTGAGAAATCGAGGGGCTAAAGACCATAACAGATTTTTCGTAATTTATATGTTGACCCGAAATGGCACTGTATCGCGCCTATGACTTCTTCATAATCAGAAAGTCATTTTCAGAAGCTTTAACAAAGAAAAGGGTATCATCAGCATACATCAAATGTGCAAGTCCTTCGCAGTTTCTTGCTGTTTTAATACGTTGCCACCAACCGTAGTCACCTGCCTGGTTAATCATGCATGAAAGCACATTAGCACACAGGAGAAACAAATAAGGAGATAACATATCTCCTCGACGTGAGCTAAAGAAGTTTATTTAATATAGACAATTAAAAATTATGAATATTAGTAGATGAAAGTTGTCACCTAAAGTTTATTTAATAAATAAAAAGGGAAGAAAAAGCAAATAAAGACCCTCAAAAGCCTGATTTATGCGAAATCTTCAGGAACCTTTTTAAAATTTTTTTTTTATGTAAAAGAAATTTCCCAACCGCCAGAATAATTATCAATAACTACTACACTTTTTTTTTTTTTACCAAATAATAACTATTTCACTTCAATAACAACCTTAATTATATGAAATAATAATAAAATTTTAAGTAATTATAATTATTATTTTAAAAATTGAAGTCTTTGTGGCAACATGTAAATAAAGAATTATTTTACTTTAAGAAATAATAATTTAATTATATAGAATACCTACTATAGACAAAATGATCATTTTGCAACAAAAAATAACGTAAAAAATGTCTCTATGCAGGAAAGAACTTTATTCTTATCATAAAACTAAAAAAAGAGTTGAAAATTAGAGAAAAAATAAGAGTATTTCTTATTCCATTCACAGTTCTAAATACATGATACATATTTTCTATTCATAGGTACAACTTTACAGCTTTAATAGAATCTATAGATTATATAATAATAAGAGATAATTATGGACCACTAAGATAAGATAAAATATTAAAGATAATGGGAAAGATATGAACATCCACATAGATATTATTATATTCATAATACTCCTCTTTAGATGTCCATTATATGAATGCGTCTCATTAGAAAACTTCAACTAGGAAAAACTCTATTGGACAAAAAATTGGTAAAAGACAAAGATTACATCATTTATTAATAGTTGATACACTATCTAGTATTACCTCATTAAAAGCCTTGCTAGGAAAACTCAATGGGACAAAATCATAGACAAGGCAAAAAGAATACAGCATGTACCAACTCCCTCTCTTGGCAATGTCAATTGACATCATCGATCGATCTTTTGAAGATCATGAGACAAATAATTTATTTGTGATCTACTGATGTATGGTCATATCGTGATCTCTCAACATAAGGATCAAACAAAATTTTGGTATCAACATGGTCACTAAGATTAGTCTTGGGGTACATTTAGATAAAATAATATTAACCCCCCCAATATCTTTAAAGTAACAAAAAATATGCTTAACTTCATTGTAATATATTTGTGTCGGTAAAAAAACTATATCATACTAATTCGTAAACGATATATCAAGCCATTTATGACTATCTAGATACAAAGTGCTCCAACGAAACTAAGATTTGTACTTCTAGACCAAATATTTCTTCAAGTCTAAATCGACCTTTAATCCACATGTAAAGATCTTGCAACTATTGTAGCACATGATGAATATGACTTATCCATATAAAAATACTTTAAGACCTTTGTTGTATAAGTTTCATAAATATATATTCGAATTTGTGATCCAAAGCAACATTTTGTTCTTCCCAAGTCTTTTATTTCAAATTCTTTCTTTAAGAAATTCACAACTTTTGTAAACTCTTTTGGAGTTTTAATGCTATTTATATCATCAACACAAATAGCAATGAAAACAAACTTATTTCCAGATCTTTTCATACAAGGATAATTTGGAATATTGTTATATCATTCATTCAATCGATATTTACCAACTCCGTTATACCATGTACACCTTTATATAGGAACTTATTTAGCTTAGTTCATTAGTATTCTTACTTGAGAATTGTATGTTTTTGGAAACTTAAATCCTTCAAGGATTGATATATAGAGACTTATTTAACTTAATTCATTAGTATCCTTGCTTGATGCGTATCAAAAATTCCGTCGCTAAATATTTACTGAAGGATTTTTTGACGGATTAGTGACGGATAGAAATTTCATCGCTAATCCGTCACTAATAAATTCTATTGCAAATTTGTCGTTAAATTTAACAAGGGAATTTCTGTCGGTAATCCGTTGAAAATTAACGACAGAATAATTTTCCGTCGATAATAAACTTTTTTTTTTTTTTGCAGTGAGAGCCTCTCTAAATGTTGTGTTAATAGTGGAAAAGTACATCAGAACATTAAAGAAAGGTTTGAGATATAGCCATGGATAAGTACACGCTTAAAAGGCACTTTAACATGCCTATTAAACCCCATCGAACTTGCATTGCAATT